GATCACAACATTTGTTCCCACTCAGTATTATCAAGCCAATTCATGGAACAAACTATGGTCTTACTCTCGTGAAATTGTATGTGACAAAACATGCTTAATCATCTTTGTTTCACAAAATATATCAATGACCGATTCCAGCTATTTGTTGGTCAACAACAATCTTTTCCTGAAAAATCTTTTCTAAAAATTCCCTAATATTTACCCAGATTTGTTACAAACTTCAAACCACTTACTCCAGTCAAAGTAGTTAACATTCAATCCTAATGTCATAAGTTCAAATCCAAGTCCAAAGGAATCTTTTGGCAGCCAAGCATTTTTCCTAAACAAATTATTCAATTAACTATAAACAAATATATACAAACTTCCTAATTACATTTTTTTTACAAACAAACAAAGCTCATGGCTTTCTTTGAAATCCATGTAACGGGCTTCCAACCAACACATCCAAGTCAAATGACCTTAGTGTGCTAGATTTAAAAAGATCCCTCAGGTTTACTTGCCCGAACCTCAAAGGCCACAGATTAGCTTTATTTGGTTATTAAGTTCATGACTTTCTATGGAACCCGTGTAGCGAACTTTCAACCCAATCAGTCCCAAACAATTTTGCTTTAGGCGATTAGGTGTAGAACACCCCTCGGAGTTTACTTATTCGAGTTCCAAAGGTCACAGATTAACTTAATAGCAATTTTTTTTATATATAACTAAGATAACACGTAACACTCTAGTTAATTTATTTGTTTGGCCTATTTCTTTATATTTTCATCCTTGACTTTTTTCTATGGTGGGACATCTCACAGTCTATTACCGTGAGGGGCTTCTAGACATTTTTCGGGGGACTGAAGTTAACATGCAAAGACCCGTAGGTATAGTTGGAAATATGTCCCCAAGCAGGGTATATAAAAAGGAAAGAATAGAAAGGACTTTTTAGAGCGCTGGAAGGCTCGGGACACTGAAATTTTGTATTCTTTTTATGATTTCTTGAATTTGGCATTTTAGAGCACTCCAATGATCCCGAAACTTTGTCAATATCTTTTATTCATCACCTTAACTAAGATCCTTCCTTCAAAAGTCCCTGAAATATCACAAAAGTGTGTGAATGGAATTGCATCATGAAAAATCCCGAGAAATATGCAAATGCATGAGTTTAAACCTAAATGCAATGTACTTTTATGGATTAAAACTACAAAATGCATGCATGAAATGCATCTAACAATAGGAAAACCCTAGAAACCCTAATTTGAAATAAAATAATACTATTTCAAATCCGGAATTATTTAGTTTCCTAATTATCGATAAAGAATATTCCAAAAACCCTAAAAATCGTCCTAAATTTTGTTCAAGGGGTTGGAAGGTTCTGGAATACCTTCTTATTCAGCTATTGAACAATTATCGTTTCAGTCCTTGCATATTTAATTAATCTAATTAATCCCACAATCAGTTCCAATTAATTTCTGATTAATTATTAATTAAATCATATTATTTTCAATTAATATATTAATAAATTGTTTATTTCAATTTCTAATTAATTTGTTAATTATATAATAAATTAACAAATCAGCCTCTTCCTCCAAAAGTCATTCTATCCAAATACTAGTTTTGAGGGCAACCCAAAAATGACTTTGCTTATAATTCAAGAATATATCAATTTAATTATTGGCTTGGACACCTTAATCCAACATGTATGGTGTGTGGTATTTTGGGGAAACTCACTAAGCTTTGTGCTTACGGTTTATGTTTATGTTTCACGTACTTCCGATTCCAAAGGGAAGAGCTCGACGTGATTGCATCGCATCCACAATTGTTCAGCATTTTATGACATTGTTTTGTACTCTGATATTTATTTGAGACTTTCTATACTTTGTTGGGCTTAATGAATGAATGAATGGTTGTTTTGGTTGATTTAAAACAAAAAAAATTATACTTGGTATTTTTGGGATGTTTCAAAATACATCTTTAAGTAATATCTACATCTCTCTCAAATTTTTGACTACATGTCGATATTGGAGAAGAAGCATCACTCCATCGTGGTTAATTCTTTTGGACTGATGTTTTGATTCGTTTCTAATCTAGTGATTCATATTTTATTTAATTTATGTGTTGAAATTTTTATTTGGTTCATTTTGGCCACTTAATTTACGTTAGTTCTTACGTATTTATTTAATTTGTAAAATCCATAATTGTTTTATGTATTATACTAGTACCAAAAAATGTTGCATCTATATTTGGATTTAATCACATTGTAAACTTCATATCATATATTTTCACACTCTCGACCTTGAAAGAAGTAGTAAACATTGGTTGGGAATACTTGTAAAGAACTTCATGCAAGTTTTCAATTTAGGCTAAAAGCTTTTGTATGTTAAGTTAGTAAAATTAGGTATAGTTAAAAAAAAACTTATGAATATTCATTTGAGATATTTTAAAAATTTACTATATTTTCAACCGTTTTCTTAAAAAAATAGTATTTTATTTTTATTTCACAAAAAATATTTTATATTTATAAAAGTTTGTTAGAAAACCTATTAACATTAAAAATAACTTTTCAAATAATATTTTTTTAAAGAAAAACACCCTTTATCAAAATACAACATAATTTTTGATCATAGAACCGAGTTTGTTAAGCACTAGGATGATATTGGTTCGATTTTTGACTAAAACCAAATTTTAAAGGTATTTTTTGAGCTATATAGAAATTATCCTTTTAAAGATATTTTTATATAATTTCAAATCACCGCGATTCGATTTTATAGGTATGTCGGATTCTTGTAATTGAAAAAAATATGAAGTTGTTAGTTAACATAGATGTTTAGAAAAACCAAAACTATACAAAAAACCGAAAATAAAACAAAAATTTTGAAACTGAAAAATAAAGTCATTTTGAGAATACCAACTGTTTTATATTTTCCTTTTAGAAAAAACGATTTTTTCAGGTCAATTTGATTTATTATATATGAAAATCGAGCATAAAAAAGAAAAAAAAACTCCTAAAGTTTAAGCAATCAATGGTTTGATATTCCATTTCAGCCTAGTTGTTAACAAACTCGGTTCCATGATAAGAAATTACGTTGTATTTTGATAAAAAAAATATTTCTTTCTTAAAAAATGATGCTTTATGAAAAGAATATGAATGGTATTTCTAAAAAGTTTTAGAAATATCACCATACAAGTGATTTTTTTGAAAATATTAAGTAGTGGTTTTTCACTTAAATGGTTAAAGTGTAGTGTTTTTTCTGAAATTTCTTATTTATATATAAAAATAGAATAAAGTTTGAGATGTCTTAAAAATGATAAAACCATACATTCTAAGCAACCTATGTCAATCCGCCTTATGACCACTGTTTTGAAAAGCGGACCAACCGGACCGGACCGGCCAGTTCAACCAGAAACCGGTGCTGGTTCCGGTTCTTAAGACTCTAAAAACCGGTAGCATATCAAACCGGAAAAAACTGCCGGTTTTCATTGAACCGTGAAAAAACCGCCGGTTTTCATTGAACCGTGGTTCAATCGGACCGGTTTAACCAGCTAAAAAACTGGTTTTTTTGAAAAAATTTGATTTCTTTTATATTTTAATCCTTTACCAAACTCAAGGCGCGGCCCATTTATAGCAATAATACTAGAACGGCACTCATTTGATTTTATAAAAACCGAGTTTGCTATCTAGATTGTACTTACCGACGATGTGGGAAATAATATCTTTGTTTTATGGATAAACTCTATAGTTCTTTATTTTTATAAACAAATTGCCAGCTCCACTTTATGTATCCACCGATGTGGGATTAGTTTACATTGCTTTACATAAAAATTTGTCAAATTCCAATATAAAACCATGATTCCTTTTTTTAAGTTGTTATATATATATATATATATATATATATATATATATATATATATATATATATATATATATATATATATTCCGGTTCATCCGGTTTTTTGGACCGGTCCAACCGGTCAAACCAGTTGAACCATCGAACCGGTAAGACGACCGGTTCAATGTCCTGTCCGGTTTTCAAAACATTGCTTATGACCGATATAGAAGGTCAATTGTGAAACACTATTAACATTTTATATGCGTAAGGTTTGAACCTTATATAAAAGGGTTTGAGATGATCTTGAGAGTCGACTCATCTCGTTTATGCTACAAGCAAATGCACGACGTTAGATTATTAGATATATAGCATATCATAATCATATGTATGTAATTTATCTTTTGGTCTATACCATTTTACAAACTATACATACGGTGAACCATCAAAAAAATTTATAAAAAAAGTTAATACGACTTGAATAGAAAGTAATATATGGACTACACATCAATCACTTAGTGCCAATGTGCCATATACATGTATGTACTATTTTCTTTACTTTTTTTCAGTTTTCATGATGAAAACTTGATAAGAACCACTCTTTTACTATCAGGGCAATGATTTCTTTCCAACCAAGTCCTCATGGCAATGAGTACTCCTCAACCTACCCTTTTTGTTTGTCAAATGGTAAAAGTGTTAAAATAAATAACTATGGTTAGTAAATTCCATGGTATTTTATAAAATACCATTATTTAAAAAAATACTACAATAAATACTTGTTCACAAATACGGATACCACTACAACAACCAATAAAAGTAAAAATATTTCTTGAAATAAAAAGTTCGAGTGTTTTTGTCTTTCCTATGATTATGAATTGTATCTTTTTGTGAACAATAATGTTTAATGGAGGAAAAGTGTTGTCTATTTACACATAAAACCTTAAAACAAATAGTATTTATATCAGTTTCATATTAATGGAATCGATCTTGAAGCTCCAAATGTATTAAAAAAAAAATTCCATTTTAGTTGATTGTTTTTTTACTGTTTTTCCTCCTCCAGATGAAATTCTTGATTCTCCAACTCTTACCCAAAAGTTAAAGAAGAAACAAACAAAAATACAACCAACAAAAAGTAAAAGCTCTGTTTTTTGTGCTGCTGTTTCTAAACCCTTTTACTTTAAATTAAAAATCACCCCTCCCAATTCAGACCCCCTTCACCTTCGACAATCCTCCATTTTTAAACCCCATTTTCTCTCAACAATCGCTCACTTTTTCTTCACTTGTTTTTTAATATTCACAACCTTTTTACATGTGGGTTTGTTGTGTTCTTCGCCATTTTTGAAAAAAAGTCGACATTTTTCACCTTTTCCTTCAATGGGTTTCGATTTGATTCACTAGGTTCTTATCTTTTTTCAGCTGTATTTATCACTCTGTGAGTTTCGTTCAGAAATTGTTTAAAAAAATGGAGATTTTCAAGCTCTGTTTAATGGGTTTGCTCTGGTTTGGAGCAAACGCCATTGTTGTTGAAGATGACAAAAGAGCATTATTGGATTTCATGAACAATTTTCCTCACTCACGTTCACTAAATTGGGATTCAAACTCAAGTACTGTGTGTAATCAATGGACTGGAGTCACGTGCAGTGAAGATGGGTCACGTGTTGTTGCTCTCCGGCTTCCCGGAGTTGGGTTTCACGGCAACATTCCGGCGAACACCATTAGCAGACTCTCAGCTTTACAGATCTTGAGCCTCAGATCCAATGGTATTTCTGGCACTTTTCCTTCTGACTTCTATAACCTCAAGAACTTGTCGTTATTATACCTTCAATTTAACCAATTTTCTGGTGAATTGCCTCTTGATTTCTCCGTTTGGAAGAATCTAACCATTATTAATCTTTCAAACAACAAATTTAAAGGGTCAATTCCAAGTTCCATTTCGAATTTAACCCATCTTTCTGCTTTGAATCTCGCTAATAACTCACTCATTGGTGAAATCCCTGATTTGGGTATGCAAAATTTGCAAGTTCTCGATCTATCAAACAATAATCTCTCCGGCGTCGTCCCAAAATCACTCCACAAGTTTCCAAAATCAGTGTTTTCCGGCAACAATTTGTCTTTAATCTATTCAACCGATGAAGTCCCAATTGTTATGCCGACGCATAAACCAAATCCCACCTCTAAAAACGGCGGAAAGCTAAACGAAAAAGCACTTTTAGCCATAATCGTAGCCATTTCTGCCGTCGTTTTCACTGGTTTCGCAATCTTTTGGATAATTTATTGTTTAAAAAAGACGAATCGAGATGGGATTTCTTCAAAACTCGAAAAAGGCAACATGTCTCCCGAGAAAGCGATTTCAAGAACCCAAGATGCGAATAACAGATTGGTTTTCTTTGAGGGGTGTAATTATGCATTTGATTTGGAGGATTTGTTGAGAGCTTCTGCTGAGGTTTTGGGGAAGGGTACTTTCGGAATGTCGTATAAGGCGATTCTTGAAGATGGGACTTCGGTTGTGGTGAAACGATTGAAGGAATTGAGTGTTGGGAAAAGGGAATTTGAGCAGCAAATGGGGATTGTTGGGAGTATTAAACATGAGAATGTGGTTGAATTGAGGGCTTATTATTATTCAAAAGATGAAAAGCTTACTGTTTGTGAGTACTATGGTGAAGGAAGTATTGCTGCAATGTTACATGGTATGTTTTTTTCTCTCTTGAAATTATGTGATTGTGTTCTTGTTCTTGTTCTTGTTTTGATTATGATATTATGATTGCATTTTCATGTTTTGGTAATGGTGATTTTGGTTCTTGATTTTCTTTGAAATGTGCTTGATAAACGTTTTGAGTGCTTGACAAAAGATGTTTATGATTTTCTGATTATTTGGGGTCCAAATATGATTGTGTTCTTGCTTTAGGGTTGAAATGATTAGATTTCTTGAACTCGTTTGATTGTGTTCTGTTTTAGCTATGATATATTGATTGCATTTGATGCTTTAGCAATGGTTCTTGATTTTTGTAGTAGGGTGCTTGATTAATCGGTTTGATTGTTGGACAAAAATAGTTTATGGCTTTATGATTATTTATTAAAATAATCAAATATCTTTAAACTCATTTAACTATGTGTTTGTTTTAATTATGAAATTATGTTTGCATTATGATACTTTAACTATGGTGATTAGAAGGGTGTCGTAATAATCCAATAATTTTTTCTGATTATTTAATGACAAAATAATTAGATTTTAAGAAGCATGTAACATGCATTTGCATTGAGAAATTGATTATGAAGATAAGTATAAAATTACGTGACTATTTTTTATTTTAATAAATTAAATGGATAATTATTTGATTATGATTTTTCAAGTCGAAATAATCCTGTCCATGTTAGAATTTATTGAAACCGAAAGGTTCAAGATCAAACCTCACAAGTCTTATTCAAGAATAAATCATGAAAAAACAATGTTTTTTTGTTTTTTAATTAGTTTTTATTATTTGGTGGAATATTGCATTATCCATGATAGAGAGAAATAAGTTATTGATTGATAAGAATCAATCCATGTGAGAGATAAGGGAATCTTTACTATAAATATTTTGGTCCATTTGTTCTTTCCCTTTGTCGTATATCCACTATTGTCAATTTCAAATATATAAAATTACCCATTTACCCTCAAAAGTCAAATCCCGACTGTTTTTTATCGTCGACTAATTATTCTTCAACTTTTATAGGTAAAAGAGGCGAAGACCGGGTTCCATTAACATGGGAAACCCGTCTCCGGGCAGCCATCGGAGCTGCCCGGGGCATTGCCCGAATCCACACTGATTCAGGCGGAAAACTCGTTCATGGCAACATCAAATCATCAAACATTTTTCTAAATTCCCAAAATTACGGATGTGTCTCCGATATCGGTTTATCAACAATCATGTCTCAAATTGCTGCCCCAATTGCTCGGGCAGCCGGTTATCGGGCACCGGAAATTACCGACACCCGGAAAGCCACTCAACCATCGGATGTTTATAGCTTTGGTGTTCTTTTACTTGAACTTTTGACCGGAAAGTCACCGGTGCACACCACTAGCGGCGATGAGGTCATCCATTTGGTCCGGTGGGTCCACTCGGTGGTCCGGGAAGAGTGGACGGGTGAAGTTTTTGATGTTGAATTACTAAAATACCCCAACATTGAGGAGGAGATGGTGGAGATGTTGCAAATTGCGATGTCTTGTGTGGCAAGAGTGGCGGATCAGAGGCCGAAGATGGTGGAGGTGGTCAAAATGGTGGAGGGTGTTAGGCGGACAGGCTTCCAGGAAAGTTCAACACCGCCACGGCCGGAGGCTTTGGAGATGGAGGCCTCGGGTGTTTGATGAGTCTCCGGTGGCCGGAGTTTCTTTCATTATCTCAATGAATTGGAGTTTGATTACTTCATGTCATCAATGTGTTGTAGTTGTATCTTTGCAAAGTTTTTATGATATTATTTTGTATGCAAGATTTGATTTTAATTTCTACTTTTTTATTTGTTTTGGTGGTTAATTAAATTATTATTTTTGTGCGTGAGTTGTTTTTATTTTACTCTACATCTTTCACATATTAATATCTGAATTATTGGTATATTAAATGTTAAATTACTGACCTTATTCTATTTCTTTTTTACGTATTAAATTTACTGACACAGTCAAATTCTTTTTGAATTTATGAGTATGACACGTTAAAAAAACAAGATGATAGTCATAAGTCAAATTCTTTTTGAATAAATGAGTCACTTGTCTACATTAATTTTGATAAAAACTAAGTGTTTTAATATGTGTCGTTTGTCATTAATTTAAACAAATTATCTTTGTTGAGAAATTAAAATTTTTGGTACAATATTTTCCTTCAACACTAGAATAAAAATAAAAGTTAAAGGTGGTAGCCAAATTGCTCAAAACATGACATAAAAGATGTTACGTATATAAACAAATATAATAAGTAAAAGAGAATACACAAGATTTTTGAGATTCATATGATTAATATAATCATGCTACATTCGGAACTAAAAAGGGTTTATTATTAATTTCAAAACAATGTTTACAATTATATCAAGATTACATATATAAATTAGTTTACTTGATTTTGACCATAAAAGTGTAGATGGGTTGGGCCCAAAAAATTTCTTCCTGGTAGGTTGCACCCAGACCATGCAAGGAACGACTTTTCTAGGGGTGAGCAAACCCAAACCAAAAAACCGAGAAACCGATTAAAACCGACGAAATCGGAACCGAAAAAACCGAAACTGATGGTTAGGGTTTGATATTTTTAAAACCGAAAAATCAGGTTCGGTTTCGGTTTTTTCCCAGAAACCGACCCATCCAACCCGAGAAACCGACTCATACTTAAAACCGACAAACCGCCCCAAGAAACCAACCCATCCAACCCTAGAAACCACCCATACTTGATTGTGTTTTGATTGTAATAGACTATTTCGGGCTTTGGTTGTAACTTGTAATAGACTATTTGTTGTAATACTCATGTTTTTGGAAGTATTTAACTTCAATTTGGTGTTTTTTTTAAGTATTTAGTGTAACAACGTAAATTTTCAAAACAATTTTTCATTTTTAAATCATACTTTCAATCACAAAACATAATGTATTCACTGTGTCATAACAAAACATGTCCCAGAATCGCAATAACATAAACTCCGTAAGTGTGTACGAATCATGTCGGCGCCTTCTCGCGATCCTCAATAGTACCTGAAACACATATCATAACAACTGTAAGCATAAATGCTTAGTGAGTTTCCCAAAATACCACATACCACACATACGCCTTTCCAGGCCATAACTCTGTAGGATCTTCCGATCCATGTGTCTCAGGGACTTCCGTCCCAAATCCCGGTAGACCTTCCGGTCCTACCCGTATCGACCTTCCGGTCCGTAACCTCTTGACCTTCCGGTCCATATCATCTTGACCTTCCGGTCCATGTCCATACATAACATACATAGCACATACATATCACATAACCGCATATAGCACATACATCTCATAGCATACAAGACCTTCCGGTCACCCATATCACATAACCGCGTATAGCACATACATCATAGCATACAAGACCTTCCGGTCACCCATATCACATAACCGCGTATAGCACATACATCATAGCATACAAGACCTTCCGGTCACACATAGGTACCCTTCCAGGTACAGTATAGTGAGAAGACTCACCACGGGTAACTCGGTAATCTCGAACTCGGTAAAATCTGCTCTAGCCTCCGCCTAATCACATGGAATAAGCACTCTAATCAATACAACTCTCAAGGCTAGACTGTTCCCTCTCTTAGCACTCTCAGAAGGCTAAAAGACCATTTTACCCCTCAACGGACACAAAAGTCCAAATGTTTGACCAAACCCTAAAAGTCAACAAAAGTCAACTCTCCGGGTTACGCTGCGCGTACCGAACCTGTACGCTGGGCGTACCCGGCGACCTCACAGAAACAGGGAACGCGACCCCCTACGCCGCGCGTACTGGGATTACGCCCAGCGTAACTCCCAGTTTCAGACTCCTTAGCTTTTGGGGTCTTAAACAGTTAAGACACAGGTCCAACTTTCAGATCTGACTACCCCTTAGCCTCTTAATCCATAAAGTTGGTGACTTTAAGCCTTTGCATGGCTGTAAGAGTCACCAACACCCAAATCATTCCACTTCCAACACTTTAAAGCCCATAACTCAAACATGACTCCCTAATGACGACCAAGTTGGGATTTTTATGGATCTACAACACATATATCACTGAAATGGGACAGATCTGGGTCCATGGAGTCCCTTATGCTCATAAAGTCTCCACCTTTGGGACTTTAACCCTAGAAATGGACCATGAAACACCAAACCAAAATAAAGAGGAAAGTTCTGAGCTTTTTACCTCTAAGTGAAGCTCCTTCCTCTGAAGAACTCAGATCCAAGCTTGCACTCCAACTTCTAGCCTTCACAAGAACCTCCTCTTCTTCTTCACTAACACATAAAGGCACTTTTAGCTCAAAACACTCACACACAAGCTTTAGGACGAAGGAAATGCTCTCTTAGGGTTTCTCTCTTTGAAATGGTGGCTGAGGATAAGGCCATATCATTCCTTATATAGTGCACAAGTCTCATTTAGGTTTTGCATCTGGACCAGTTACGCCCAGCGTAACTTTTGTACGCCCAGCGTACCTTAAAGGGTCCGCGTCCATTTCAAGCGCATGAGTACGCGCATCGTACTCTCCAGTACGCCCGGCGTACTCATTTGCAACTTTTCCCACTCAGGGACTAATCTTGACAATCTTGACAAAAGAGAAGGGTTAAATAGTTGTACCTGAATTTCGGGATGTTACATTTAGCTTGTTGTTTCGTTTATAGAAATGGGTTAAAACCCAAAACATATGGGTTTAAACCCAGAACCCGTGAGTATATGGGTTGAACCCAAGAAACCGGAAAACCGACCTCAGAACCCGAGAAACCGAACCGACCAGAAACCGATTTTATTGGGTTCTGAAAACTAGAAACCGACCATTTATGGGTTGGGTTGGGTTTGGGTCCAAAACCGACCTAAACCGACCCATGCACAACCCTAGACTTTTCTAACAAAGACTATTTTTTGTGGGAGTGGAACCAAAAACAATCAGCCTTTACAACCTAACAATATATTATTTAGAGGATAATCAACAACACAACCGCCTTCCAATGCATGTATCTCTCATAAACCTAAAGTTGTGCGATATCATTTCTCTAGTATGTTACTCGAAATACACCCACCTTATCCCCACACTCATAACCACACGCCCAAGCCTATGTTGGTGATTTGTATCACTAATATTATTTAAGTGTAATGGATTAATTGTTGACCAATGCAATCTTGATAAACATTGAACAAGTAAGGGTGGTGCAGAGTGTATACTTGTTTGAGTTTATTCAATATTCAAAGTACATTGTCATTTAGGGGCTTCAACAGGGTCAGTGGGCAGCGCTATGGATTAAAGTGCGTCTAAACCCGAACCGGTTGACCCGGACCCGGAAAACCGGAATTGACGCATAAAAACCGAGAACCGAACCGGTATACCGGAACCGATTCCGGGTTTCGGACCGGGTAAAGTGGGTATGGAACCGGTTGGAACCGAAAATTCATAATTGGAACCAGATTCGTGTATTAGATCCGAAATAACCAAAAATCCGAAAATAGAACCGAAAACCCGAAATTTTGGAGAATCAAATCGAGGTGAGTAACATATGCCAACCAGTAGAGCTTTTATTGTGTAATTTGAGGCTCTAATTTAGTAAAGTTTTTTCTATTTTAGTAATTTAAAGTCGAGTTTTTCAACCTATGCTATAGTCAAAGTTTGGTGTATATTTTCAGATCGAGCTTATATATGGTTATGATAGATTTATTAATATTTTATTTGATCTCTTGGATCGAACTTGCTTTATCAAATGTAGTTTTTGATGGATAAACTAGTCTGTACTCTTAGTTATAGATGAACATGATGTAACAAATGATCAATCTATAATAAAGAACTTGGAAGGCATAAAAACTTAAAAAACTAAAAAGATTAGTTAAAACGAAAAACGATTATATGATTGAAGGGGTCAAAACTTAAATATGATATAGAAATAAAAAACACCTGGATAATCACCGGTTCCAGCCCATTACCTGGTTCCAGTTTATTACCCGGTTCCGGTTTTTTTACCCGGTTTACCCGGACCCGTTGGATCCATACCCGGAATACCCGAAACCCGGATAAGACAAATTTTTAAACCCAAGAACCGGACTAGATAAGCATATTTCGGTTCAACCGGTTCCGATTCCGGTTCTAATCCAGTTTTTCGGTTTTAATTCACATCCATATGCAGTGCCCCTAGTAGCGGGGTCCAAGGGATGGCAACCCTTACCGGGGTCCAAGGGGTAGAGCCCCTAGCTGAGTTAATATTGCTTTATGAAAAATGCATAAACATCCAAATTTGAGAATTTTGATCAAGTTTTAACCTTGACGTTGACCCTGATGGTTTACCCTTGACATGAAACCGTTTTAGTGGTAGTTTCGTGACAGTTTTGAAAATGTCTTATGACAGTTTTCTGGCAGTTTTCAGACAAGGGTGTTATACCCGTTTTTGTTCGTTAATCTGGTACACATAAGAATCATCACATTAACATTCTCTGTCTTGGAACATCACTAAATTTTATCTAATTGAGATTTCGAGAGTACCATCGAAATACTTTAATTTGATAGTTCAATCACGACTTTCAGTAACTCCAAACAATCGAAATACCCTAGATTTCTAATAGCCTAGCCCTTTATGCCCACACCCAACCTACCTTATCCCACCCTATACGACTCTCCTTTATACCCACACCCATATGTACATGTCGATTTCGAGCCAAAACGTCACCTAAGGGTTATGTTTTTCTTAATTATTTTAACAATTTTTATTCCTTTTAAAAACATCTTGCGAATCAGAACACCCCTTAGGGGTTTGGTTTTTGCTTATTCACCAAGAAAGGGTAAAATACTTGCTTGCTTGATTGAAGTTTTAGGGTGCGAGTTGACATA